GTTGATATTTTTTTGTCATGTGTAAAAAGGCATAAATAAGAAAACCAAAATTCTATTTTTGGCTATAGCGGCTCATTAATGTAAATAGATTTTTAGAACAGATAAGGGATGTCATTAATTCGTTCGATTTTACCACAGGCAGGGGCAGATCCACTAAAGTACCAGTGGGCCTAGGCCCACACTGGATTTTAAGGAAAAAAGTTCAAAGAGTAAGGAATATGTATAAATTCACAAATCAATGAATTAATTTACCTAGTGTAGGTGTATTTGGGAAGTCTCTCCTCAAATTATAAAACGGGTTTTATTTTTACATCAATAATTATTTGTCATGTATTTTTATTTGGAATCAACACTATTTATCCTATTTTATTTACATTTGAACTTGACATATAATTGTTTATTTACTTAGTAAGGAGAACAATTTTAATTTGTGTTAACTCAATGGTTTTTTTTAGTTAGTTAATAATTAAATAATCAAATAAATTTCTACATCTTTCACTTTAAACTAAATTTATGACTTTAATATTCAATCTATTTTAAAATATAAAAGAAAATAAAAGAGAAACATCCATTGGATATATGATTTTTTTTTCAACTATTTTCATTCAATCATAGTTTATTTTGTTGAAACTAAGAAAATAAACATATTCATAAAAATATTATTTATATTGTTTCACATTTTGCTCTACAAGTAAGACAATTAAAACATAATATGTTATTCTTATTTTATAATTTTTAATAAAATATTATTAATTCACTAACCTGTCATTAAATCACATTATTATAATCTGTACATTTTTATCTTCTACTAGTATTCGACCTGTGCATTTACATAGATATATAAATAAATTATTGTAAGTTATTTTTTCCAAATTTACAATTAAAGGAGCTAAAATATTTATTTTTTTAATTGTGTTTATCATATTGGATTTTTGGTATGTATCTTTTTTTGTAAATAATTTATTATTAATTTAAATTTTTCAAATACATTTTTTAATTTCCAAAAGAAGTTAATTTAAATGTAACCACAACAATAACATCTAATCACGTTAAATAGCCAACACATTATATGGTCAACTGTAAGTGAATCAAAAATTAAAATGATTTTTGTAATTTCAAAATGATTAGTGTGTTGATTATCTAATAACTAAATGAGAGGTTAAATAAATAAAAAGTAACAGTTTTTGGAGGGAAAAAAATTATATTGCTACATAGGTATAATTTAATAGGTTTTATTAAATGCTCATGAGCCAGCAATTATATATATATAAATTTAATAACATCTTCAAATTTATTTCATTTTTTTTCTTGTTTCTTTCATCTATATTTTCGGATGAGGTGAGATTTTTGAAAAAAAAAAAATTATATACAATTGCAACTTATGTTTTTATTTTATAATTTCATCAAAAGTGCGAATGGTTAGTTTTGAGAATTACTTGGGCCCCGCTCATGTAAATTTCTATATTCGTCCCAGACCACAGGTCCGGTTCCAAGACCCGTAGATCTGGGCCGGGTCGACCCTTGTCACTTCTGGGACCACATAGGCCCCCTCTTATCAATAATGTTATTCAATTTAATGTACGGGCAAATCAACTTGCCTGCCCTGCTGCCCGTAAACCCTCTTAAAATCGTGAGCTTCTATAAAAAGGGTCCATAAACTGCAAACCCTACACTTATAAGAGCCCTCCATTGTCTCAGCCTCCTTTTGTTCTTCTTATGAATCTTATTTTGTCATGAAAATAAAAAACTTAGGTTTGATTTTCTTGTCTTAATTTTCATCTCTCAAGTTATTTTATGCTTCAATACATGGATGCATATTTGTGTATTTATATATTTTTTGCACGTGAGATTTCCATTAATATATATATATATATATTATTGATTTGAATTAATATTTTTTTTATTTATTTTCTACTATTTTTTGAGATTATATTCGGAATTAACGTTGTTTTTTTTTTTTTTTTTT